TTCAGGGTTCACTTCTTGGACCCTTATTATTTAATATACTTATAAATAACATAAACGACATATTAAAAGTACCTTGGTGCTTTATCCTGATGATTTCAATATTTCCACCACTATCAAAGCCTTAGAAAACCATAGGTGACTCTAGACTGTTTATCTAGAGCTGGTGCACAGAAAATGGAATACCTACCACTCAAAATTGTAAAGTGTAACAATACATCATTTACTCGCAAATGGACACATCTAGTTTTTAATTACAATTTAAATAAAATAATTTAGAGAGATCAGCGATATTCTATGATCTTTATCTTCGATCAATAACAAATTTTTACACTCATATCGAAATTAAAATATTACATTTTAAACTCTTGGTGTTTATTGTCACCAGACTATCCCCAGTGTAGTATTCTTGATTCACTTTCTGTTTCCTGGTTGTGATTATTTTTCTGACATGTACGATCCATTCTCCTGAATACAACCATGCAAACTCAATCAATGACAAATCTTATCTATTTAAGGATTTTAGAGAAAGACAGTAAATAATGGACCCTACCACTATACAGAGTGTTTTAGTATCAATAAGCAATTGATAAAATTGTAACCTAAAAAAACCTTCCTTGTTGATATCAATTTTTGGATTAGTATTTTTCTGTGACTAATTTATGAAATACCCTGTAGAAATCGTGTTGCCAAAAGGTATTTTATAATTTACATGTGCAAATATAAGTTGACACAATGCTATTTTTAAAGTTCCAGCAACATCATTGATTACACATTTCAAAGACATTGAAAAACATGAAAGATAACTTTGATAATCAGTTGTGAGGAATTTTGTAAATATAAAAATAAACAATGCGCCTAGATATAAATTACCTTACAATATTATAGAAAATTACTGCAGATGTGGAAATTGAAATACTTAACTTCTTGATAATGAGGATTTTCCGCTGTGGTGTTAGTGGTTTTCGAGGAAAAGTCATAACAGAATTTTCTGCAATATAGTAAAAAAAAGTACGAGATATCTTTTATTAAATTTGATGGCTGTTAAATTAATAAATATCAATAAAATAAATGTAAAAGTTTACGTTATTATTTCTACAAGAACAAAATAAAAATTTTGTTAAGTGGTCTATATACAGGATGTTTCATTTCTGAGAAACAGTTTAATGACGGCAATATTGAATAGAAAAAAGAATGATCTAGGCAAACGTTTTGCTACTTCAAATACAAATTCAAGTTGGAAACATTTTTACTACGAATTATTTCAGAAAAGAAAAAAATGTAAGTAAAATGGATGAGTTTTTGTAATTCAGGCATACTTTATTTGACATCATCGTTCTATTTTGACCTAAGAAATTTCTCATCAATAATATCCTTCTCTTAATGAAACATCCTGTATATGATTGGCTTCTATATCACTCTTTTAAAAAGTGTCTTTAGTCCTCAGATATTAATATCAAAACTACTCTGATTACTAAAGTCCTGATCAGTATAGAATGTCTAGTACACAGCTAAGGTTATTCGTCAACAAAATCCCCAGAAATAGATCTGTTTCGAACTTCTTATCAGCATGTCGTAGGTGAAACGACTAACAATTGATGCAGCTATTTGAATATCTCCTTACCAACATGTAATGATTTGCTTCAGGAGGTATACGATGTATCTCGTGACGAATTCTTGCTTTTAAATCTTCTAAATTAACCGGTCTAGTAACGTATACTTTGCTTTTTAAGTATCCCCACAAGAAATAATCTAGGGGTGTCAAATCAGACGATCTGGCTGGCCACTCAATCGGCCCCCTTCTCCCTATCCAACGATTCGGGAACAGCTCATCTAAATAAGCACGGACAGGTGTTGCATAATGGGGAGGTGCACCATTTAGTCGATTTTTACATAATCATTATCATTTTCAGTATTGTGAAAATTAAATTTTAAAATCTTCAAACATTATTTTCTTGAAATTTTTGTTATGTAACACCATAATTTTTCATGATCTGTGTATGTAGAATGACACGCTCTTTCAAATGGCATGGTCAAAATTGGGGGTTGCTATTTAAAAAAATTGTCGATGACGTCATATCTCGAACAACGATTACGTCACAAATATGGGTCGTATGTCAAAAAGTGCCTTTTTTAAAAACAAAATCGACGTGCCAGGGGATTTTTTCGAAATTAAAAAAATAATTAATTTATTCGCTACTTTTCGAAAGCATTGTATATATTTTTCTATCAAATTGGTTATGAACAAGTGGGTTATAGTTCTTTTGTGATGCATATGAATATGAATAGTCAAGGACCTTTTAAAAGGTCATTACAAGAGTGCTACACAAAAGTAGGTCAATTTGTTAACCACATAATTTGGATGTACTGGAAACAGAGGTTTCCCATCTGCCATTTTTTAAGGATCAAGGGAGTTTTTAGAAACACACATTTCCCTCTTTTAAAACATATTTTTGATTATCGCATAATTTTGATTCTGATCTTGGTTTACGTGATATTGTAGAGGTTGACACAGTTTTTTTTTTGGTTCTACACTACTTTTAGGGCTTGGCATTCTTAAAAAAAAATGCGCAGCTTTTCGTCTACTTCAACATCAGTTTAGGAAAAGTGTAGTGTGGGGATTTTAAATAATAGGTTGTAACCCAAACTTAAATCAAAAGCTTCTAAGAAAAATATCATTTTTAAGTCATAGGCGTACGCAGGAAAAAATGTGTTCGTATATGGTAAAAGATTGTACAAAATTTCCACTTATTTTAAAAAACAACAGAACTATTAATAGAAATATTTTTTCCGTTATTAGTCACCAGTTGACCTACTTTGTTTGCAACACCTTGTATAGCTGCTATACCTTTTTACTAACTCAGAAATCATCTGAAACCACTGTCTTAATTTTGACCAAAGAACACCTTGCAAAAAGGCTCGACAGTGGAATTTATTTAAGTTTTATAATAATGTAATGTTTTAAATATATAACTTGTATCGGCTAGCATCTGTAATCAGCGAAATCTCAGTGTTTGTGTTAAATGTATGAACTGCCACTAATCAATCAATATTAATCACAAAATCACCAGCAGCCCTGAGATTAGATAATAAACTAATAAATATGAGTACAGCCGAAGGGAAATTTTCATTGTAGGTTTTCAGTGTGGGTGTGAAAAGGTGAGTTATTCAAAGTTTTTGATTTTCCTGCCTCCACATATTAGGTAAGGCGAAATCCTAAAGATGCTTCCTCTAATAGTTGCTTAATTGTAAAAAGTGAACACTCAGTTATAAGTAGAAAAATATACCTTCCTGAAATTCATTTGCTGGCCTAGAACAAAGGATGGTACTGACAACGGATAGTTTGATTAGGAAGCAATAAACGCAAGAAAAAACAATGGAAGGCAATTATTTGTACGGTTGAAAAACTGAAGAGTTATTTATAAATAAATAAACTTAGCGTTAAATATACTTTGTTCCACAACCGTTTTCTAGATGGTGTTCAAATTGAAAAAAAAAGATGCAAGATTCGCCATTTGTTCAAGCAAAACTATCTTCTCCATTCTCCAATGGCAATTATGACCCTTAGAAGTTGTAAGTTTTCAGTCACGGATATTTTGAATTTTTAAGTAGAATCCCATATTAAAAATACAGACATATACAAAATTTAACTTCCTTTCGAATTTATTAAGGTATGTTGGGGTTTAATTTATATAGTTTGTGGGATATTCCACATTAACATATGGATGCCACATACTTATCACAACACAATTGAACTGTGATGTTAATGACATGATGTTGACACAGAATATTAATTAAATATTAGAAAGATAACAATACGTATTAATAACAAAATAATCAATAAAAAGAGAACATACAATTATTGGAAAAACACTAACAAAATCTACAGAAATCCTGTAGCATCCATTGTTTGACAATGGAATGGTATCAACAATAAATTATTTAATTAAATTCTTTGTGTAACAGTTATATTATATGGCCTATTATCATAGGGAGTTTTTTGGTTCAGTGGAAAGTTTGGTACACCTTGATACACAACGCTCAGATTGCGTTCATTTTTAGTGATAATTTCTTTTTTATCGGTATTATCAGCGTCTGTTTCTTGGCGATCGATACAGTTTTGTATGACAGTCATATCTTTGAAACTATCGTGCCCTGTCATTGTCTGTCGAATATAATTGTCAGCCATATTGAAATCATACAGCGCCAGCGGTACAAGTTATAAATTTCTTGGAGCCATTTTGATTTTTTGTTATTTTTTCTTAAAATGTCTAATTCGTATAGTATGGGTGATTTCACTTTAAATACAGATTCATTATTTTTTTTCCATTTTAATCAAGATTATGAAGTGTTTAAGCTCAATGAACGTGATCCTTTAATTTTTTTCAAAAGTTTGACAGTTTGAAACAAAGAAACGGTTCTTTAGATCGAGATGAAACTTCACAAGGTTCTTCTGGGTATATCGAGCTATAAAAGTCATGCTTAACATTAGCCATTTCGTGAATATTTCTAGTTTAGATGTCAATTTTCTAAAATTTTGTTGTGTTTTTTTTAAATTCGTGTAAAAGATGAAAAGAAAATTTTTTTCCGAAAAGTTGCGGCAGCCTGTTATAGGATATTTATTCCAGTTTTCGAAACTTCCCTTCAATTCTCTGTACTACCATTTGTCGCCAAGATATCGATGATTGAAGACAAAAGGATCCTTTTCCATTAAAAGGTTGAGATTTCGATGAAAATTGGTCGTATCGAAATTTAAAAAAAGGAAATTAAAGCTGAATAAACAAGCTATCTGGTCCATACAATGGCTTAGCTGGAAAAAATGTTTCCAAGTTGGTAGACTCAGAAAAAATAATACAAAATGATAAACGTAGCTCCTAAAAAAAAATTAAATAATACACAAGTTGATCATTCATCTTCAATTTCAAAGGTCACAATTCGGTGACTTACAATCAAATTGCCACGGACACTTGTCTGTTTGTCTAAATAACAATTAATTCTTCTAGGGATCAAGATGACTCTTCTCCTTTTGCTCGCATCCTTGTGCATAGGCAGCGTTCTCGCTGTACCAACCGTCAGAGATGACGAACCAGAGGAAAACTACAAGCTGGATCAAGCTTTTAAATTAACCAGTTACGACTTAGCACTCACCGTTCCCAAAGAAGCCTTCACAGACAAAGGCACTGAATATACCGGAAAAGTTACAATTATATTTTCTTTCACCGAAATAAAAGAATACATCACGCTACATGCTCACTCAGATTTTATAGGCATAACGAATGTGAACTTCAATAATTATGATCTAGAGGATGAAGACTACAGCCTTGACAATGTTACTAATATTTTAAAAGTAAAAGCTGTCAATGGGGTCTCAATTGACAGAAGTTACCAACTCATCATAGAATTTACCGGTCGGCTTAGTACTGAGGACATGTATGGGTTCTACAAGAGCACATACGTTGATGGAGAGGAGACTAAGTATCTGGTTACCACCCAGTTCGAGCCCACCCATGCCAGGAAAGCTTTCCCGTGCTTCGATGAACCAAGTTTTAAGGCTACATTTACTTTGTCCATTACTTACCCTAGTACTCAAAATGCACTATTTAATACAAAAGAACTTGATACCACTACTGACAAAGATGCTGGGTAAGTTATACACGTGTTCTATTTGGGGGATAAAGACTTAAGTTCGAAAATGGTCGATCTTCCTTCGACGTGAAGACTTCAATTTGGAAAGATAGCTAAACTCCCCAGCTATCTTTCTTAACTGAAATATTAATCTGTACAGCCTATGCTCGATAGTTAAACGCGCAATGTAGATTGATATCTCTTTGATAAAAAAAACCACTAGATTTCTTAGTAATCTCAGATGTATATTTTTATATTTGTACATGTCTGCCTTTGATCTGAAACTTCGCATCAATCAATTTATTCAATACGTATCCTAGCGGCACCTTAATGCCTGCCCTGTAGGCTGAGGTTTTTTGCTGAGAACATTTCATATCTTTTATGCGTGAGTGGGTGAGTTTGATGCTTTGCATGGTCGACTGTATGGCAGCTGTTTTTATGGCAGTCAGTAGTACTGTGTATCGTGAACATAGAGCGGCAGATTTAGTCTATATTGCCATTTTTCTCGAAACCAAAAAAGTATCACGACAAAAAAGTTTCTAAATTCAATGGCTTTCTAGCGCACTAATAATTTTTAAGAAATTCAAATATGCGACCAAATCTTTTTGGCTCCAAAGACAAGAGGGCCCACGAAAATGTGTCTTAAGGGGTTCCCTGCCAAAAAGATTCCACATGTCATAAAAAAATTATTTAGTAAAAATTTCTCCTATGTATTTTTGACGGGTATTGTACGCGTTTGTTATAGTCTCTCCAAAATCAGTTGAACATGTATAAATACGCCTAGCAATAAAATTTAATGAGTTACATAGGCGCCCTAAAAAAGTTTTCTGCTAAGTAAAAAATAATAATTTGTGTATAATGAGTAGAAAATTTCTATTATATGTTCATTTGCCCAACAACATATTGTAATTATTTATGTCTTCAAACAATTTTATTATATTGATGGTAAATTTTGGTTACGACATATCAATAAACATTTACATTTTCATTAAAATATATTACTATTCGGTATTGTTGCCCTGCACTGCTAGGCAATTTATCAACAACTGAAATTTATGGCCGGTCGCCCAGTGCGGCTGTGTTTGTGCGCCGTTTACTCGCGCGCGCATTCTACATAGCATAGACAATAGCAATACTCATAGACCCAGTCTATGGGTATTGCTAAATAAATATGGGAACAATATTACAATCCCGAGTTACTGCGTAACGACTGAACCTGTACATACTGCCTACCTCTTTGGCCTTCAATTGAGATCGGAAAGACTGTACCAAGTTAACTATTCCATTTATTATCTATTGTTTGTGGCTTCGCATCGTAAATAAATAATTTTTCAGAACAAAAACGACTAATTTCGCGGCAACTCCTGTCATGTCAACTTATCTAGTGGCGTTCATCGTATCAGAATTCACTTGCACCTCTGGTGATCCTGTTGACGGTGCGGTATTCCAAGTATGTTCAAGAGACGAACTCGCCGATACAAGAAAACGTGCTGCTGAAGTTGGATCAAAAGTGATTGAAAAACTCAATGAATATACTGGCATCAGTTACAGCAAAAGCATGGAGAAGATGGACCAGGTGGCTATTCCAGATTTTTCCGCAGGTGCGATGGAAAACTGGGGGTTGGTAACGTACAGGTAAGGAAAATGTCATTAGCTAGTAAACTGCGCAACTGTTTATTACTTGTAAAAAATAGAACAATAATCATCTCAAACATAGTCCTTGAAGTTGCTTGCTAAGTCCAGAAAACAGCACCAGAAAGTATTCTCATGAAAAAGTGGTGCTGTAGCTAGGAATAGTACGAATGCTACAGGAGGAGGTGCTACAGGATGTAAGAGCGATGATGCAACAAACTTTCATGGCTGAATTACAGATTTAGTAGATTATCTCTTTTTTCAATCTTGAGTTTTTCGGGAAATACCTCGATCATAACAATCCGGGAGAATTAGACCAAACACGTGTAGTCCAGGCGGTATCTGTTTCGGGTTGGGTAAAACGCATATGATCGGAGATTTTAGCTTTAACGGCTTCTAAATAACATCAGAAATGATAATTTTTCTATGCAAATAAAAAAAACGTGGGCTTAATTGTTATTACAAAAAAAGTATAAAAAAATTCCAAATCAATTCATTTTTTTCTTGGATTTCTCGTAGCCAACTTGACAACTATTCGTTTTAGACAAAAATGGAAGAGGAAAAAAAGTTTTGTAATTAAATTTTGAACAAGATAGAGTTAGTTGCAATTCGAAAAAATAATTATTGTTGTTGCAAAAATCGGAAAAATCATTTAAAAAATTGCAAAAAATGTTAGTTTATTTGTCAATTTTTTTTCAGACACTTGAATAATACCTAGGATCTTCATACTTTTCCCAATTAAACTTCTTAGTGCATAGAATCATCACACCAAATTTCATCCAATTCGGTTCGATAGTTTTTACATAATAATTGTTTAATTTTTTTT